CTAATAAAAAACTGCTTTGCACAGTCAATAATGTACTTAACTTGCAACCTCAGTCACTAAATATCCTCTATGTAGTTTTGCATAATAGGTGTTGTTTTCAATTAAGATTTCCTCAGAACTTTTCCTAGACTACTTTAAACAGTGATACAAAATACAAAAGTGACCAATAAAGATGGTTTCTCCTAATAAATTCAGGGACAATGTGCCACTCCCCAGTTCTATTAAAAAACTAGCACATTCACCAGGCTACAAAGAACAAGAGGCATTGTCCATGGGAGGAATAAGTGGAAAAGCCCACTCTTGGTTTGTAATGAGTGACGGGAAAAAATTTTAAGTGACCAGTGGTTGTGTAACAGCAGTTAAGGTGTAACTCCCTCAAAGTGAAATCAGAACTCCCCCAAATGAGTGCTTCTGAGTTTACCCTGTCTCTCTACTTTGCCAAAAATGAAGCCCATTAGTCCCCATGTTCTAACACAGAACTTGCAGTCCATCATCTCATATAGATGGCTCAGTAACAAATGTTACTAAATAGCCTTTCACAAATATAAACCACCAAACATTTTAGAAATATGAGGTGCACAAAAAGATTGCCAAGCGAGCAATTTGGTGGCATACACCTGTAATCTCAGCCCTTGGGAGACTGAGGCAGGAGGATCGCTGAGTTAAGAGGCCAGTCTGAACTAACACAGTGAAACCGTCTCATTAAAAAAAAAAAATTGTCAAGCAGGGCATAGTGGCAAATGCATGTAATCCCAGCACTACGGAGGCTGAGGCAAGAGGACTGCCTTGAGTTTGAGACCAGTCAGGTCTACAGTGAGTAAAGTCCAGCCTAAACTATATATAGCAAGACCCTGTTTCAAAAAAAAGTGGGATGAATAGCTGATGCACACTAGCCTGGACAACATGGGAAGACCTCTTAATTTGGGGAAAAAACTTACCAAGATAGTGCTTAGAGAAAAAACTACTGAAATGTAAAGCCATTACATACAATGAAAGCTGGGTGTTGGATGGGGACATTTAAACATCAGATAATAAATCCAGCCCAAGTCTTTTAATCCAAACATAACAATTTGAGAAAATTTAGAAAACAGTTTAAAGCAAAATTCTTAGAAACAAAAGTACTAGACTTTCAAACCAAAATAAATGAAAACCTATGTAGAGTTGTCTCGTGAAACTTTAGAAAACCAAATTGGGGGGGGGGGCTGTCTACAGTTTCAAAAGAAAACAGCAAAAGTTTTACAAAGAAAACTGTACTTATATCACACTTACTGGTAACCCTGGACACTTACAAACAACAGAGCAATGCCTCCAAAGTTCTGACTGAAAACTAACAATGCAGCTAGAATCCTATATCCAAACTGTCAATGAAGAGCACAGATGAGACATTTCCCTAAGTGTGCATAATTGTTTACAGTTCATATAGCCTTGGAAACTACCAGAAACAAAATGGAGCAGCAAAACCAAAAGGAATCTATGAAACAGTGGACCTAAAAAATGCAACAGTAACAGCATAAATTTAAGCAAGTGATGGAACATAAAGAGCCCTCTAAAAGGCACATGTTTTAGCAAATCAGAATGTATACTGAGAATCAAGTTCCAGTCTAGCCCTGGAAACCTGAGTGATTCAGCAAGACCCTGTCTCAAAGTCCTTGGGTTCAATCCCCACTGCAGAAACTAAAAAAGTTGTTCTGGTCATCTTTGGTATAGAGGCAAGGTATAAGCTAGTTAAAAACCTATCCGAAAAAACAGCCAGGGCCAGGAATGTAGCTCAGTGGCACTGCACCTTCCTTGCAGGCACAAGGTGGGAGTGGTGAGGGGAGAAAGTCTTAATATTTAGGGCTGGGGATTTAGCTCAATGGCACCGCACCTGCCTTGCAAGCACAAGGTCCTGCACTTCAATCCCTGATACCAAAAAAATAAAAAAAGAAAAAGAAAAAACAGCCAACAAGAGTTAGAAGCAAAGGAAAGGTTTATGTGTATTTAAAGTAGTAAATGTAGCCAAAAGAATTTAAAACAGGATTCGTGTAAATTAAACTCTTCACAATGGGTGACAAAATGCTTAAGCTTAGGAACAGGTACAAGTAACCACTAGAACTAGTTACCTCTGTGAATGGACTGGAATATATGCACTTTCCTATCTTGTGCTCTCTGAATGTATTCTATGTAAAGGTTCTTTACATTTGTTTTGTCAGGCATGATGGCACACACCAGTTTCCCAAACCTTGGGAGGTTGAGGCAATTAGATAACTGTGGGTTCAAGGGCAACTTGGGCTACATGGCAAGACCTTACCTCAAAAAAATTTTTTTTGTTTAAAGTGCTATCAGTGGGGCTGGGTGAGTAGCTCAGTGGTAGAGCATGGACTGGCTTATTAGCACGTGCTGAGCAGTGAGTTCAATCCCCAGCATCAAAAAACAAACAGCTAAAAAGTACTTGAAATTAAAATGTCAGCTAACAACACAAAACCATGAATAACATTTACCAATCACTGCTCAAACTAGATACATGTGGTAGTGGGAGGATGCCTTAAATTCCATTTCCTTTTGAGATGACGTAACTTTACCTGCCAATTGGTAGTTAAGTATAAAGCTACTCATATAACTGTTAACTATTCTTACTTTAAAATATAAATGTGTATTACTTAGAAATGGGTGCTTTCAAGAACTACACTTTTATTTACCTAGCCTGCATGCTTATTTTCTCCTCTTGAAATTGCTATGCAAAAGAACCTTATAAAACCTGTGGACTCAAAACCAACTAGACTCAATCATCAAAATAACAATTCAGTCATGTAGTGCTACTTCCTCATAAAGAAATACAGATGGGCTTTATATTATCAAGACTTTTCTTCAGCAACATGAAAATAAACTGAACAGCATAAAGGAAAACTGATAGGCTGGATTCCCTACAGATACCTTATGAACACCTTCTTTCTCTAAGGAAAATGTAAACAATAGCTTCCAGTTTTCTTTTTAACAATTAACAAATCCATATGGCAGTGCATAAATTACAAGGCCAACTGTTCCCTTAACTTGAAAAACTGTTTTAAGTGTCAGATTGAGAATTTAAATGTGGATCTTGAGAATCTTACATTCATTCATTTAAAATGTTAACACTGCTGGGTGTGGTGGCGCATGCCTGTGATCCCATCTGAGGCAAGATCATAAATTTGAAGCCTGGAAATGTAGCTCAGTGCAAAGGTCCTAGGTCCAATTCCCAGTGTTGGGGAGTGGAGATGAACTAAATTTGCCTAAGTACACTCTACTACAGGTTGTGTTACTGAATAGAACCTGAAAATGTATTGTTTTTATAGATGAGCTATGACAATACATTGCTCATTTCTGGTTCTCCTCCAACCACGTTCCAGATAATAAATACATGATTAGCGCATATGCTTACCTAATTCTTTATGACAAGTTAAATAAGTTGTTATTTTATAGGACTAATTCCTGAATCTTCCAATTAAAACAACCAAAGATATTTTAGCAGTGAAGTCTAAACAGTTTAGTCATGATACAGATCCATTTAGTTTTAGTAATTTTGCATTCAGGTGTTACATTAAGTCTCACGATTACTTGAATTTCATTTCAGTTTAAGTTACTGCCATTAAATGAGCCACCAAATAGGACAAGGTGTGTTAGAACTCCTCTGCTATGTCATGGTTCTATCCTTGTAAAACCAGATTATTATCATGTGGAATCTACAAAACTCTTTCCTACAGATTTTATATTGTTCACAAACCCTGATTTTTTTGTTTTTGGGCTTTTGAGACAGGGTCTCACTGTGTAATCCAGGCTGGCCTTGAACTCATGGCGATCCTCCTGCCTCAGCCTCCCAAGTGCTGGGGATTACATGTACCACCATGCCCTGTCCTGATTTATTCTTTAATCTGTAACAATGGTTTGTCCATACCAAGTCCTTTGACTTGTGCCCTAAAAAAGAAACTGGCTCTAGTTCATAAATAACAGATGTCAATTCCCTTGGGTATCCTAAAATTCTAAATTTTGTCAAAATAAATCTTTTTAGAATACAGCAGAAAGCCTAAAGCAAGAAATGACAACTCAGGTCATTGCAGATACAGCCTTTACGATTCTTATCAACTTAAACTACTTCGTAAACAAAGAAAAAAGAATAATACGATGTATTATTCTAAAATGACTTATTTTGTTCTAACTTTATTGCTTGTGTTTAGAAACACATTCTAGAAAGCTCTAACACCTTAAGATGCTAATTCCAATAGTTTATTGGCCTATCCCACACCAAAAAGTCTTATTCAAACTCCCATGACTTCTGAAATGATGGAAGCTTATTTTTAATCAGCATGTATCTTGGTAACCCTAAGTAGGTTATCTGCACCAAGTGACAAAACTTAAAAAGTTATACCCAGATGAAGTGGCCAAAACAGTATTACTATTTCCTTCCCAACCTAGAGCTATGAGCTAAAATATCTTGTACATATTTACAAGTCCGATTCTTTGATAATGATTTATCAATTTAATAATCACGTTAAGCTGAGTTGACTTAATCTCATTTGTAGTTATGTAAATCTGCATTTTATTAAGACAGGTCAATTTGTTTCTTCTCCTCTGAGTTTACTTGCAAACCTCCATCTAAGAAATTTTATTTGCCAATGATAAAAGACCAGAGAATGGAAAACACTTTATGGTCAAGTTATGTTCCCAGAGAAGAACTAAATTATCATAACTTCAGTGACTCCAATGGCATGTAAAAGACCACAGAATATTTCCATCAACAATTAAAATTAAATGAAGACCAGCCCAACATGTTTATTCTATACCTCTCCCGGGTGTATATACTTGGCAATTGGGGGTATCTTGGGGAATTTGTTTTTACCATTGTGGCTAGTTACTTTGAATGTATCCATTATCAAAAGGTGACAGATCTCTAAAAGATTACAAGTGTCTCTTTATAAGCTGGTAAGTGGAATATGATGAAATGGAGGACACCCACAATAATTCTTGGACTCCTGGAGATCCTAAGACATGCTACAAAAATAGGTCTTTATTCTTAGGAAAATATAGTCAGAGCTAGCTTCCTTATGCTATACATAAAATCTTAACATCAGAGGCAGTACAGGATAGTACAGATAGTTTTTGAACTGATCTCCAAACAAGCACAAACCCACTACGTTTAAAAAAAAAAAAAAAAAAACCAGGTAATTTGAGGTTTTTGGCAAAAGACAGTACTTCACACATCTAATCCAAATCAAAGAGCCTGCAGACAGTTTTCAGTGAGATGAAAGAAATGAAATAAATATAAATTCTATGGATAAATAAATGCAAAAGAATTTAAATAAGCTAACAGAATAAATTTTTAAATTAAAATACTAGTCAGGTACAAGCTTTTGTTTCTCAATGCCAGACTTCTAAATGTTTACCAGACTACTATTAATATCATTTAAAAAATCTAATCTTTGACCCAGAGTGTTAGTAATAATACTGATTTGCATTTGCAAAACATTGTTTTACCAACTGAATGCTTCTGTTTCTGAAAAATACTTTAGGTGTATTACTGAAGGCAGACTGTGGTGCTAATTTAAGTACCTTGAAAAAGTGACAGACCCCAAAAGTCCATCTACTAATTTGCCTAAAAATGTCTATGAGTATTAGTTCTTAATATCTTAAGTAGTGGCATGCCCTATTAAGTGGTATGATCAGTGACTAAGAGACCTTTAACACCACACCCACAACTTACTTTCATGTATCATTGCTAAAGTTCTTTATTCATTAAGTTTATACCCACCATTGAATTCCTATAGTTAGATAAAAAATTGATAGTATACATAACTGGGGAGAAAAAAATCTCGGTGGGTTTTCTTTGAAGTTTTAGGAATCTGGGCAATCATTTACTCTAGGGTTAGCGCTCCCTCTTAATGCTTGAAGACCTTCTACTTTCTAAGTTCTCCCCATGAAATACAGACTGTCATATTCTGTAGTAACATGGCGGTCTTCTGCTGTTTTTGATCAATACTGACTTTTAGCTTAGCAGTCAAAAAAAAAAGACATTCTGTCCATGTAGTTTCATGTTCATCCTAATGTTAAATAAACATTTAAAAATATTTTATATACAAATGAATAATCTAGATCACCCCATCAATCCATTTCAATGTTGTTATTTTACAAAAAGTTTCTATTTTAAGTCAGATTTGCAGTAAGCATTAAAAAAATGTTTCATGACCTAAGTGTCATGAGTGTGCAATAACTCTGTTCAATTCTCCCTTCGTTTTAACAAAGATTCAGCTGCAATGGCTAAAAAATCTTCCACAAAAACCATGTTTGGGAGAATATAAATAACACAATTTTCCCACAAAGCAACTTTCTGAAACCTGAAAAACTAAATTAATGATCACTTTTGATTGCCAAGTAGTCTGCAGAAACAAAATCTTGCGTCTGTTTTGGTTAGTTAACTAAGTTCTTTTAAACAATTAGAATACTTTAAAGGATACACTTTTCACCCAAAGGAAAGGCCTCAACTAATGGATTTAAGACCCTTTCCTTGATAATATATACAAAGTTTCTTTAACTTGTCATCTGTCCATTCTTTGAAGCTGTCAAAGCCAAGAACCCATTGACAAATCACAAATAGCAATAACCTACATTAGTTAACATTCCCCCTTTTAACATGTTGACATTTCACTAAAGGATTAGTTATTTTTGCATTTCCATTTCTCATATCCCATGACATTCCATATAAATTGCATTATTGCTTTATAGGCCACACAACATTCAAAATTATATGCATTGCCTGTTTTCCTTGATCTCTGATAAGTTTGATACTGATTTTACTATAGAAATTTAAGTTTGAAAATACCAGTTAGTATTTCTTCTGAACTTAATTGTTCACATCACTAATCACTACATGCATATTTAGCTCTGATTATATTGCTCAAAAACTGCACCCATTATCAGAACAGTGCAAATGATATTTAATTTTAAAATTATAATGGCTTGAATTCAGTTATTCAAATGAACACTGTCAAGTAATTTCACTTGAGTGTGTATATATTTCATTACCACTGTTTACATTACCCTTCTTTAAGCATAACCATCAATTCTTCACAATTTCTTTATAACATCATTTTTCCCTCCCAAGTCCCCAAGCTAAGAATGCCAAATAGTCTTGGAAACCCACAAAGCTCCACATTTTAATATTTTCTTAAAGAACACATTTGTGAAATCACAAAAGTGTTCATCTTCAACTCTGACAATGCAGTTCTTACTTTAAAGTCAAACAAACCTGCCCAACAAATAATTCTGAGAATTAACTTAAAACACCTTGACAGTGTCCCTTAAAAAAATGGTATGACAGTTAAGTGGCAATAGGCATGGCAATGACCTCTTAGATGGGATCATTTAAATCCTTGGACCTGGGAATGCCAGCACCAAGGATTACACTGAGATTCAATTTTACTGAAGGCTACATTTAGTTTACCCACTTTCCACAACCTATTATACTCACTATGTCAATGAAATGTAAATGTTTTTTGTGTAGCCCTCAAACTTACACTAAGATTTGAAAGATGTACTTTAAAAAAGCACAGGGTAATATATAAAATCAGTGGCAGAAAGTTTCATTAAGCACCAGGAACAAATTTTTGTCACCCCATACTCATTTTGTAGGTAAGTTTCAATAACCGGCAAGGCACATTTACATATATTCCAATGAATACTTATTGACAAATTTTAAATTACACTCTATGTCCCAGCTATCCCAGTAACTGACATACAACATACTAAAATGGTTTATTAAGGTAACAAAAAAACCAATTAATGTGAAACATACAGGCTATTGGCAACCACTAGTCTAAAATTATGTAAGTACAAATAAACATACTGATATGTGTGCAATTCTAAGTTTTTAAACCAGAAGATTTCTCTACTAACACACATTTATATTAATGACACATAAAAAAAATAAAAACTTTATTACAAAAATAAGTTACACTCGCCTCCAGCTTACAGTATAAAACAATTTTATTTGCAGGAATGCAAAATGATTGTTTGCCATGAGCATTTTGAACATATGACATGTCTAATTTTCTTGTTAAATTTGCATTTACTGGGGAACTGGTGTGTATAAAACCTTAATTAAGTATAAGCTCTGATCTTCATTGTGGTGCCTATTGGGTATGTGATATAACTGCAGTATCCCTTTGGGGAAGGGGAGAAGGGACTTCTTTACACCAAGTCCTAATAAACCATAATTTTACTTTTGACTTTAAGCTATCAACTTAGGACTTGGCAAAAAATTTTTGAGGGTGATTCAATAGAGGATGCTTCACCACTGAACACTCACTGTCATCAAGGTGCTTTAGAAAATTAAAAACATAGCACAAATGACTGTATTCTACTCTACAAGTTATCATGACCTGCATAAGAAATGGAAAGCTGATTCACATTTTTACAGTGACCAGCAATAAGAAATGCACTAATGAAACATACCTTTTACCTAAAAAGCTAAACTACAGCCATATACTAATTTCTATGATTTATGAAAAAACTTCAAAATATCCAAATGTCAGGCTTTGCTGTACAATTGTCAGTTTTAGTCTGACTTTTTATAAAGGGACACTGCAGTATTTAGTACAAGTTCGGATGCACTTTTTTTGAACATCTGATGTCTTACAAAAGTAACATCTTGCTAAACTATTATACATCCAAATAACTACAATATCTGAAGAAGCAAGGCTGCTTTTTCAGCCACAAAATACGACAAAAGCAAGGCCTGTTATGATGGTCATGAGGAAGTCTTACAAGCCTCTGAAACTAAAGGCAACTAAGAATGTTACATTTGGTATATTAAAATCTTACCCTCATATCATATTT